ATTTTAATTTTGAAAATTTTGCAAAAAGGAAAAATAAAGAAGAAATGAGAATCAACTGGCTTGAAGTGAATCAAGCAGACTACGCGTATGGCTGTAGTAAACAGGAAGTAGAAGTTGCAAACTCGCAGGAACTGCACATCTAAGGACAATGGAGAGAAGTTATCAGGAATGTGTTGCTACTGTCAGGAAAGTTGAACTTATTGTCATATTCACTAGTTTTGGCAATGTTACATGCAATCTGGAGACAAAGAAAAAGAAATGTTATACTCTGAGAAGACACCAACAGCAGGAGGAGGGTCCCGCTGCAGTCGCAGGTGCAGTTGCTCTGGTATCAGTACCGGACAGAAATCGGGAACAGCTGATCAACCATGTGAGGTAAATGTTTGCTACATCAGAACTTAATCGGCAAATATGTTTCCATCTCTCCTTTTGCGCATTAACTCTTTTTTGAAAAACCCCAAAACCACCTCAAGCGACCGTATAAATCTTTTTTGTGAATTAGAGGAAGTTTTTTCGAATTGTGCCATTTCCATTAACCTTTTCTAATGTGATACATCAAAATGTGCATTAAAAAATGTTGATGGAAACATGGCTAATGATGCTGCTTGAAGTTTAGACTGCTGAAGAACAAACATTTTACTTTTGCTTCATATTTGTTTATAAAATTATTGCTGCCACTGACTTGTATTATTCTCTGTTTTTCTCTATATGAACTACATGCTGCTTGTTGTTTGTGTCCTTTTCCTGACCTCTCAAAACCCTTCTGGTTCAGACAGATGACCTCCTGAAACTGGTTTGGAAGTAATTTCTTTCCAATGTCACCAACCTGCTGCTCAGAATGTGGGATTGCAACTGAAGTAAAAATACAGTGCTATGTGCTGGCTTCTTTAGATAGATACGTTTTATTAATTGACTTTGAATAATGCTCTGAATGTGAATGTATTGCATTATAATAGGAAAAAAACTATACTTGGATTTAATCTGGATCTATTTTGAAATGAGACATTATTTTAGTTTTTTGGTACAGTTACCTAAGGTGACTTCTTTTTAATTAATTTGCTCTGTATAAACAAAGCAAATTAAAATAAAACCCTAGATAAAATCAGCCTGCTTCAAAGTACAAATGACATGTGAACAGAATAGTTGGATTCAGTAGGTCTCAATTGACCTTTTACACCTACCCCTTATAATAAGGATGAGTAGGCATACATGTTGCTGAGTGAAAAGTTGTACAGAATAATAACAGTAATCTCTGTATTGATACTTTTGTAATCATGCTAACAGAAACCCTGTTTAAAGAGCAGGTAATGGTAATAATATAAACCTGTATGCGCACACAAACTTTGTCCTAATGCAGAAATGACTAAGGCCAATAGTGTCAGACCATATGCTGGAAATTGTGGCTGCGGGGGAACCTCACCTTAGGTAAAAGGATTAATAAGCTTGGCAACATATGCTGTATCTAACACCAACTGTTGTGTTTAATAATTCGTATGCAGAAATGATAAAGAGACTGTAGTTCATCACTATCACAGTTTTCTAATAAATTGGCACGAGAATGTTCCAGAGTGGAGACAAAATGCACAAACATATTCATCACAAGTGTCTACCAGTGTGTGAACAGTACCTGAACATGTGTGTTGACAACACAGATGGATGAAAATGAGGTGTTAAAAATACTGGATTGCAAAACAGAAAATCAATGTGGAGTGAACGCAAGTCTCTTAACAAATGGTTCCAAGCTTTTTCTCTGGGTAAAATATTTGTTTGTGTTTGAATAACATTATATCAACTTATTATGAAAACAGGAAAATTTCTGCACGTTTTACCTATTTTAGCCATGTTTATGTAGCATTGTACAAGGGTAAAAATGCGTGTTAGCCAGAGATTCTTAACCCATGGGCTGCGGCCCAATTGCGGGCCACGAGCGCCACCTTGAGGGCCTCAAAAGAACAACAGCTTTTAACTTTGGGCCTGAGAGGGCCGTGGGACTGCAATGATTTTGAATAAGGTGCAATACACTTTCTCACCAATAGTAGCAGTAGTGCGCCAATCAGTTATTTAACAACTTTTTTAATATGTAGAAGAAGAACCTTAGAAACGTGAATAGAAACGTATTTTAAATGAAAAGAAGAAGCAAAAATGAAAGTAACTCGTCAAAAAACACCTGTTTGTCACTAATATGAAGTGCAGCTTCTGTTTTTACCAGGCAATATTTTAAAAGTTCAAAACATTATCAAATACAGTTGCAGATACAACTACAT